GGAGTGTTATTATTCTCAGCTAGCTCTCCTTTATTACTATCTATGGTAGCAGGTGGCAGTGTAGGTTTTCTTGCTGGTGAAGGTACGAATACACACCGCATTTTATTTCCTGTTCTGCTTCCGTTAAATTCCTTTCTATTACACGTCGCTGGTTTGATAGTTTTGTGCATTCATTTCTGGCATAATATTGGATTCCGATTTCTCCAGATCTCGAAAGTGCCTCTTGTTTTTGGAGCTGCGATTTTACTTGCAATCGCACTGTAGTATGCCCACATCACTTCATAGTTCTCCTCCTTTGACCATCTTCGTCTTCTAAGATTATTCATCTGATCAGGTCGTGCTTCAAGACTGTCCCTTTGAACTGAATCTGTGGGATGTAGGTCTTGTGCTGGAGGTAGTTCTGAGTAAGGTTTTCGCAGGCTAATGTTCCGCGAGCCCCTTATTTGGTGGTTGCTGATTTCCATTACAAAACGCTGTCCTTGCTGGGGCGTTTGTATCTCCTAATGTCAAGGTGTCCCCCCAGAATCCGCGGGACTGACTGCAAGTGCAGTGTAGGATTCTGAGCTAGCGCTCTACCTACCTGGGGTATCTGTTTCGTAGTTTTACCTGACATCGTGGATATATCTTACCAGAGCCCCATTCGCCAGAATTATGCACACTGATGTTCTTTGTGCCGCTGTCCGCTCCACACTTGGAGCTAATGCTTGACTTCTTGCTCGGAAGAGGGGTTGGATTTCTGTGGAGCTTATAATTATTATTATTATTATAATATTATTATTATTTTTTTTTTTTTATTCAATAAAAAAAAATACAATTGCCGCATCGGCCTGATGGTCATTAGCGGCGGAGCAGTACACAGTGTTACACTAAATTTTATGAGCATAGTTGGTGGTTGTAAAAATAAGAGTAGATTGTTTATGTTACATTCTGAGCCTATAATGTCTATTAAGCTAGATCGTAAGTTGGAGGACACTCTTTGGTATTCTAGCATGGGACACTCCACTAAAATGTGCTTAACGGTGAGGGACACTTCACAAATTGTACAAAGAGGTACGGGATCTCCCGATATGAGGTAACCATGTGTGGCCCTGGTGTGTCCCAGACGAAGACGGGTCAGCAGAACCTGGTGCCTTCTATTTGTAGTGTTGATCTGCCAGGAACCAAGACGAGATTTCACTTCAAGAAGCTTCGCTGATCCGCTTCTCCATTTATTGTTAAACTGTTCTATTGCCATGTTGTGGAAGTATGTCTTGATATCGGAAACAGGAATCTTTTGTATTGTCTGCATTTTGGCGTCCGCCGCTGATCTTGCGCCCCTGTCCGCCATTTCGTTGCCCAATATGGATTTATGTGAGGGAACCCATAATAGAGTTATCTCCTTGTTTAGAAGTAAGTTCCGGTGTATTTCCTCCTTGATTAGGTTGACCAGTGGATTTTTGGGATTCAGTTTGTTTATGGACTCGATTGAATTTAAGGAGTCTGTAATTATTACCCACCTCTGATAAGGACTGTTTTTGATAAACTGGACAGCTTCTCTGATTGCGTAAAGCTCACCCGTCAATATGGATGCTGCTGCTGGGAGCTTCAGTTTTATTGTGGATGTGGGAGTGATGACTGCTGCTCCTACGCTTTGCTTTGTTTTTGAAGCATCAGTGTATAATTGTTTTGACCCTGGATAGTCGCTTATGATATTACAGAAATTCTGGTATATAACTTCATTGGGTGTTTCGGTTTTGTTGAACTGAGTGTTGTATTGGTAACTGGTTGACATATAATCCAAGGCGGGATGGTATCGGTGACAGTAGTAAGTGTTGACGGTACGTTCTGGATGTCGAGACTTCTTAAGTACTCTGATTCTGTTGTGAAAAGGAGTGCCTGTTATGCTATTCCTATAGGACCTTGTAGTGGCTAAATATTTATGGGCTGATGTATTGATATTTGCGATTTTCTTATTAAAATATGTGAGGCTCATTATCTGACGTCTTATGTGTAATGGTGCTTCTCCCGATTCACAGTACAGACTGTCTACCGGTGTGGTTCTGTATGCTCCTAATATTAATCGCAGCGCAGTGTTGTGAAGCACGTTTAAAGGTTTGAGAACTGAAGGTCTTGCTGAGTTGTACGCGATGCAGCCATAGTCAATCTTGGATCTTACAAGTGCTCTATATATAGTAAGCAGTGTCTTACTTTCAGCCCCCCAGTGTCTGTTTGATAGGTACTTTAGCATGTTGATCCCTGCTTGACAAGACTGAATGACATCTGTTATATGTTTCTTCCAATTAAGTCGATTATCAAATGTGATTCCCAAGAATTTGATGTCGCTGGTGTACTTTAGAATCTTATTGCACAACTTTAAAGTGGGCTTGTCACGCACAGGCTTCTTCGAGAAAATGATGCAAGTTGTTTTCTCTGTTGAAAAGGTAAATCCTGTCTGCTTAGACCAGTATTCCAGCTTATTCAGGTAATGTTGTAGTAACGATGCATTTGTTGTCAAGTTCTTTCCCCTCACAAATACGATCATATCGTCCGCGTATAGACGGGCCTGAAGAGGTAGTTCGATATCTCTTAGAACGTCGTTAAGTGCTATAAGAAATAGAGTTGGACTAATAATAGAGCCTTGAGGTATTCCGTTGATCTGTTGTTTTTGTTCCGACAGTACACCATTTGTTCGTACTTGGAAACATCTGTTGTCGAGGAAGTTGGAAATGAAGGATAGAATGTTTCCATTGTATCCCCATTTGTGGAGTTTAGAAATGATGTTGTATTTCCAGGCTGTATCAAACGCTTTGTTGATATCAAAGTAAATTGCCATACAATGTTGATTGTCCGAGAATGCTTCATGGATGTGGGTTTCTAAGTCTATTATATTATCTATAGTAGATCTATTTGATCTGAAACCAGCTTGTTGGTAGGCTAATAGGTTTTTATGTTCGAGACTCCACATAAGCCTGCGGTTAATTATTTTCTCAAGAAGCTTGCACATACAGCAGGTTAGTGATATAGGCCTGTACGATTCTGGTAGCTGGGGTGATTTATTAGACTTCAGGATAGGAACTGTTATTGCTTGTCCCCATATTTTGGGGAAAACGTTCGTTGTCCAGATGGTGTTGAATATGTGTAATAAGCGGTTATGAGCAGACGGGGGAAGTTTCTTTAGGAAAATAGGCGGAATGTCATCTGGTCCTGCAGCAGTATCTTTCAGGTCGTTGAGTGCATCCAAGAACTCTAATTCTGTGATGGGTAGGTTGATTGGATCGCTGTTGTCTTCTATGGGGATTATCACTGATTCTGCATTTAGTTTGTAGTTCGTAAAGTCTGAACAGTAGTTTCCATTGCTGTAGTTGGAGTAATATTTCTTGGATAATATTTCTGATATTTGATGACTTTCAGTGACAGTGTTTTCACCGTCTTTTAGACATCTTATTGGTGAGTATGTCTTAGTTCCAGAAATGCTTCTCACCTTTTTCCATACTTTGGGCATTGGTGTGTTACAAGTAATGCTACTGACGTAATTCTGCCACGATTGTTTTTGGTTTTTTCTAGTTATTAGTCTTAATTTGGCCTGTTTGTTCCGAAGGTTCCTTAATGTATTGAGATTTTTGTGTCTTTTGTGCTTATTGACCGCTTGTTTACTCTCTTTGAGTGCAGATTCGCATTCGTTGTTCCACCAAGGCACAGGATTTCTATTTTTTACGTGGGTGGTTTTACCTAGGATATGTTGTGCGGCATCAGTTATAGTCTTGTTGAGCTGTTCCACTATAGAGTCTATGCTGACATTAGATTTTATATTGCGGTCAAGGTTACTATCTATATAGTGTGAGAATGAATGCCAATTAGCTTGCTTTAATCTCCACTTTTGAGGAGGCGTTGATTCAGTGTTTTTGTTGTTTTTATTGTTTGATATAAGTATTGGGAAATGATCGCTTCCATATAAGTCATCTTCTGTACTCCAATGTAGGTGAGTTAGCAGGCCGGGGGTGCATAGGCTCAAATCGATTGCGGAGAGTCTTCCTGATGCGGCGTCGAATCTAGTACAGTTACCGTCGTTCAGCAAGGCTAGGTGGCTTGAGTCCAGGATGCCTCTTACTATGTTTCCTCGTTGGTCATGTTTGAAGGATCCCCACGTATAATCATGTGCGTTAAAGTCTCCAATAATTATGCGAGGAGCGGGAACTTGTTGTATCAAGTCTTCCAGTTCTTTCTTATCCAAAAAGTAGTTAGGTGGGATATATACATTGCAGATATTGACCTTCTCTCCATCTTCTATGGTAACTGCTACAGCTTCTAAATTAGTAACGAGATTGATTTGACTAGATTGCATATACGACTTCGTATATATAGCCACTCCCCCACTTGCTGTTCCCGTATTCCTATTTTTGAAATAACCTATATACTGCTTAGGCGTGTGTGTTTTACTGTCACTAAAGTGAGTTTCCTGTAGGCAAATGATATCTGGTTTGTGATCAGTTAATAACTTTCGAAGCATGGTCAAATGGATAAGATATCCATTTAAATTCCATTGTAGAATTGACGTGAATTTTATTGTTATTAAAACGTCGAATCTATGGATGACGTGTCGCTTAGTGATCCTACCGTTTGATCGATGTGGTGTTCCAATTTTTTCCTTAATCTTGTGCATCTGTTCTTTATTGTGCGGTTTGTCAAATGGGGGTAAATTAGGAGAAGCATTTCTATAAGAGCTCTGAAATCTGAGGTATAGTTGTTTACTACATTAATGGCATCCTTAGCTCCATGTACATTTTCCAACAGACTGGTGAGCTGATCGATGTTCAGTACCGTCTGCTGAGTCTCTATCAAATTTTTGATAGGTTCAAGGCTGCTTTTTATGGGTATTGTTAATTCCTGATCAGGTTTGTGTTTCTTGATGTTATCTGCAGTCGGTTTGGTGAATGTTACTTGATAGCTTTGAGGTGCACCTGTGTCTTCCGTTGGTGTTAGTATTTCTGAGAAGCTCCTTTTGGAGGATATGCTTGGAGTTATTAATTCGTCATTATTCGGTGTTTCTCTTCGCCGTGCAGGCTAATGATGTTTGTGTTAGTGTTTTGAGGATGTTGGTGGCTGTTTTTGTTCGTAATTGCTTTGGTATTTTCTTTGGGCAGATGTATGTGGGCTGTGGTGGAATCTTCTGTAGTTATATCTGATACTACTTGATTTTCGGATGGGTTTGACAGTTCATCGTTGAGGGTCTCTGATTCTGTGGAAGTCTGCGAAATCTGGATCGATGGACACTGTGAGCAATATGTCCAATAAGTTTACATTTGTAGCACTTTTGACTGTCTAAAGTAAGAAATATACGATAGGTCAGATCGTTGTGCGTTATCTCTATGGATTCTGGGATATCCGTATTCTCTGAAGGTGCTATGTAAACTTGCCTCCTAAAACTCAAAATGTGACTGTACTCCGCTAGAGTGGCTCCAATTCTGAGGAATGAAATTGGAGATAAAAGCTTTAAATGCAATTTTTGCAGCGCGTCGTTTAGAACTGCATGCGGGATGGTCGGACAAACGTTCGATATTACCAGTCTATCAGAGGGGGTAACTAGGCGACGAACTTTTATTATTTCTCCATTTACGGTTAATTCTCCATGCTGTTGTATGAACTGGTCAACCAAACTTTTACTTGAGAGGTAAACACATATTCTGTTGTTCGAGATCCTTGAGCAAAATATAATGTTTTTGGGCTCTACCAGTGGACCTAATTTCAGAAGATAGTCTTGTAGTTTAGCTCCCTCTATAGTGCTGAAAACTATTGCTTGTTCTTTGTTAGGATGTTTTTCGCTGTGTTGGGAGACAACTTTTGAGTATGACTTGGGCGTAGGGTTTTGTGATGTGGTAGGGTTACTTGTCATATTTGAGTAATCATATTAAATGTTTCTAGTTAGCTCTGGGTGAAGACGATATGACATTCTTCTAGATACGGTCCTGTCCGCAAATGGAAAGGTATGCGGCCAGGAGTTTGATTAATTTACCAGTATGTTTATGATGTTATTGGGTTTTAACGCAGAACTATTATCAGAAAGTGGCCCAAAGGGTACTCACGGTACCAATCAGTTGTTACGTTCTTCTTGGCGCACTGACTGTATTTTTAACCAGTAGAACACTACTAAAACCTTGATTTTTATAAGAGCGATTAATTTGTTGTCAGACGCTGCAAATACAGGATCGGACCAATCTATTATTATTATTAATTATTATTATTATTATTATTATTATTATTATAATTATTATTATTATTATTATTCCGTTTTCTGTTAGCTTCTCTGCTACTGCAGGTGGTATCCTCAAACGCGGCATTATACTGCAAGCGTCTGAGTGTGACTATTGGTTTCTCTTTGTCTATGTGGCTACATTCAGGACCTTGCGTTTTTATTATTATATAATTATATCATTATTATATTATTATTATTATTATTATTATTATTATATTATATTATTATAATAATACTAATTATTATTATTATTATTATTATTATAATTATAATAAATCATAATTATTATTATATTATATTATTATTATGATAGTTATTATTATAATTATTATTATTATTACTATTATTATAATTATTTTTTTTTTTTTTATCCCACGGCGTCGACTGCTGAGGTCATTTGCCGTATCGCTCCTCCCATATAGGTCATCAATTCTCACCCAGGGGTAGATCTGGGTGCTTCTTTTCGTTTCAGGGAAAGTCTCAATAGCATATTTGATTTATTTGTGTACGTAATATGTATGTTTCTTTCCATCTTTCAGATATTCCTCAGCAGCTGTTTTGTACATTCGTGTACGCACATTCGTATTCAGGCAAGATACACAGGTAAGTAAGTACTTTCCTACAACATGTAGTATAGATACTGATCCATATTTGTTTTGTTCCAGGGCATACCGGATCATAGGTTTCCTATGTGTTGGGTCAATTCGTTATAAAATAAGGTTCGTTCTTCACTTGGAATTACAATTTTCAATTTTTTTTAAATATATTTATATCTTTCAGGTAATCTAAGACTTGCAGGATGTGGGCCTCATCTTTGAAGCACTCGGGTATTGTGTTTGGTATACGATAGCGTTGGCGAGCCTGATAATAGGAAGGACATTCGAGCAGAACGTGTTCTATGGATAGTTGGTTGTTGCATGTTCTGCATCGAGGCGGGGGATTCGCTACGATAAGATGGAGGTGTGTGAGATTTGTATGTCCTATTCGCAAACGCGTTAGGACAACTTGTTCCCGTCTTGATAACGAGGAGGGTAAGTACCACTTGTTGATGTGTTGTTTGTGTACTTTCAATTTATCATTTCCTTGGCTCCAGGTGCGTTGCCATTCATCCAGTATTTTATTTTTCAGGTGTGCTTTGAGATCACTTGGGTGGACAGTGCGGTCTTCTAGTGAAGCTGCCACCTGGGGATTCCGCGCCATTTGGTCCGCAAGTTCGTTGCCACGAATTCCCACGTGTCCTGGTGTCCATACGAAGATGATGTCCTTTCTCCTTAGTTTGAGACCGTGATGTAAGTCTAGCACCATTTGGATCATAGGATCAGTACTGTAGGGTTTTTGAATTGCTTCTAAAGAGCTCTTGGAATCAGAGCATACAAGGTAGGTACCATCTTTTATTTCTATGTACTGCAACGCTTTATGATTGCGTAAAGTTCTGCATGATAAACGGATGACATCGGGTTTAGGGAGAAGCTTCGGCCATTTCATCGTCTGTAAATGCACTTCCTACACCATTTGAGTTTTCGAGCCATCTGTATAGATAGCGGAGTGGTAGTCGTAGGTATTAATTACGTTTAGGAAGGATTGGACAAAGACAGAAGGGTTAGTTTCGCTTTTCTTATTTGAGGAGCTTTCAAGAAGTACTTTTGGTTGGGAAATACACCAGGGTGGTGTTCTGGAGAAGCCAATAGGGTATACATTTGGAAGGGAATACCCAAGGGTCCTGAGTTGTTCTTGTATTCTTACTCCAATTGGCCTAGTAATAGTTGGTCGATTATGATAAAGCGAGTTTACTTCGTCATTGAAGATAATGCGGTGATTCAGGTGATTTGGTTATGCCCACACATGGATTGCATAATTTAGTGTTGAAACTTGTATTTTGTATGATAAAGGAGGAATACCAGCATCGCAATATATAGATGTTACGGGGCTTGTCCTGAAAGCTCCTATGCATAGTCGGATTCCCTGGTTATGGACCTTTTCTAAGATTCTGATGTGTGACTTCCTTGCTGCGGCGAACAAATACATTCCGTATTCCATTTTAGATAGAACCAATGTTTTGTAGAGGGTTAAAAGTACTTCTCTGTCTGCTCCCCATGATATATTCGATAAGCATCTTATAATATTTGTGGCTCTTTTGCATCTGGTAGCTAGGTCCTGTATGTGTTCCTTCCAGTATAGTTTTTTGTCGAAAATTAGCCCAAGTATTCTAATACTATCGCAGTATCGTATTGGGGTCTCTTTCAGTGTCAATATCGGATCGTCGTGTGACCTTCGTAGTCGACAAAAGTGGATACAAGCTGTTTTAGAGGTGGAAAATTTAAAGCCCATGTTTTCAGCAGAGGTAGCAATCTGGTCAATAGCCCTTTGAAGTGTGTCTTTCAAGTGTTCTAGATCGACGGACGAATAGAATATGGTCATATCGTCTACGTATAGGCAACTGCCAACTTCGAGGTCTACTACTTCCAACAAGCGGTTAATTGCTACTAAGAATAAAGTAACGCTCAGGGTTGAACCCTGAGGTATTCCATTCTCTTGTGTTCGGCTGGTTGAAAAATATTTCCAGCCCGAACCCTGAAATAATGGTCCTGCATGAAATTATGGATAAATTTTATTAATTCCCCACGTAGGCCCCAATGGTACAGCGTGTCAATGATTCCACGCCTCCACGTAGTGTCGTAGGCCTTTTCAATATCGAAGCATACGGCAATCAGGTGCTTACGTTCGGCAAATGCAAGTTGGACAGCCGTATCTAAGTAGACCAATTGGTCAATGGTAGATCTATATTTGCGAAACCCAGATTGGTGGTTGGAAATCTTGTTATTAACCTCCAGCCACCACACAAGCCTTTTATTTATCATTTTCTCAAATAATTTACTAATACAGCTAGTAAGAGAGATCGGTCGGTAGTTGTTTGCATACTTGGGATCTTTACCTACTTTGTGAATAGCGATTACAATTGCTTCCCTCCATTGGGTTGGTAGTGCCCCCTCGGACCAAATCTTATTGTATAGTAGCAGTAACCCATTTTTTTCTGTTTCAGGTAAGTTTCGAAGCATTTCGTAGTTAACCGAATCAGGGCCAGGCGCTGAATTACGTAATTCTTCCAGCGCGTCCGTCATTTCGGTGGATGAGAAAGGTAAATTGTAGTCTGATTTTACTGATTCTTGAAAATTCAATTCTACAGCTTCAACTGTTGTTTTCGTTTCTATGAAGTGTGGTTCATAATTTTGCGTGCTACTGGATTCCTGGAAGTGGGATGCTAGAGCATTGGGTATATCCATAGGATCTGTGACTTCGGTATTATTTACAATTAGTATATTTGGAGGGTTTTGGTAATGTTTGCCTGCAATGGATCTAATTTTACTCCTGCTTGCTTTGGCTCTTTGTTTCTTAAAAGCTACCATATTTTCCATAGTTGGGTTTCTTCTAAAAATCCTCAGTAACGCTTTCTTCTCTTCGAGAGCCTGGTATAGCTCATTGCTCCACCATGGCACAGTGCGTCTTCTATTAGAGTTTTGTCTCTTAGGGATACTAGCAATGGCTGCGTTGACGATGGATTCTGTTACTGACCTTGTTGACTCATCAACGTCATTGTTGATTTCGAAAGGAACAATTTTACTCCGGTATAAGTTCCAGTTCGCCTTGTTCATTTGCCAGGTGGGGTGAATGGAGCTTTGAGGAAGATCACCTGCTATCTTGATGCATATAGGTAGGTGGTCGGAGTGTAAGTGGTCCTCGAGAATGTTCCATGTCAGCAAGTGTGCGATATTTGAGCTACACAAAGATAAATCAATGCAAGAGAAGTTTTGGGATCGAGCGTTGAAGAAGGTTCCTTCTCCTGTATTTAGAAGAACGAGCCCTAACTCGTTTATGATCTCTTCTATTCTCTGCCCTCGAGGGTCTAAGGATTGTGATCCCCACAAGGGGTTATGCGCATTGAAATCGCCAACTACAACAAAAGGAGAGGGCAGTTGCATAAATATATCTATCATTTGGTTATAGCTCCAATTTCCATCTGGT